CCCGCTAACCCGGAACACTAGATGGCCACGACGATGACCAGATTTACTAGAAAAACCATACGAACGTCACACTCTTGGCCGCAACGGCCGACCTTAGTTAATCTGGGGGCCAATTGCCTAACGGGATTGCTATGGTTATGGCTACCACTTACGGATTATTTCGTTATTTCTGACCGCCAAAGGTTTTCAAATGCCTCACTCTGATTTTCTTTAATATTGCTATGATCAATGTAACAGAAAAAAGAACAGCGCGAGGCATTTGAAAACCGGCGTTCAGAAATAACAAAATGAAATCGTAAGTGGTAGCCACAGCCATAGCAAATCCCCTTTAGATAATTGGCCCCCTGGTCATTGCAGGCACTTTCCGTGGTGACTGTCGTGACATGTGCACGAGGTGCCTGGTCCCCTCAGGTTCGAGTGGTCTAGAGGCTCCAGACGGAGAGGAGACTCCCCCCGTGGGGAGACGCCAACCGCCTGGAATACCTATAGAGGCACTCGCCAATTCTCGGCTTGAGGTCCCCTTAACATCTCGCCGTCCCCGAACCCGGTGACGCTGTAAAGGTCATCTGCGACCAACAGCATACACACATAAAAAAAAAACGAGGTGCCTAAGACGTTGGTCCCCGTCACATCTGCAGCTGTCTTAGAACATGCCCTAAGACAGCTTTTATTATCGTCCACCAATCCGTATTAAACCTCCGTGGCCAAATCTCCCTAAACTATCAGTATGAGAAGTCTGTGCCCCAGCAGTGGGGACATTAATAGGCTGATGACGATACTGATGATGAACATAAATTATTTGCTTAGTTCTTGTACCTATCCGTTGCTTAATTTCTTAAGTTGTCCTCAATTTATTTAGAAGTTATCCTAAGGATTGCCTTCGTGGAACGTAATACGGTGTTTAAGTGGGAAAGTAGTACGAGATGATCACCTTAAGCGGGAATCGCTGTAAAATACATATTTTTCTAGGTAAACCAAAAATAAAGGCGATTACTACTAGTATATATATCTATCCAACTTTCCTAATATTCAAAACCAGAAATTAATTGAGGTTTCATTAAAATATGTCTTTTTTTTAAAACCTTACAAAGTAATCATCTTGTACACCCCTGTAGGTAAGATGATCACCCAGGTCGGGTTAAGATGATCCGTATGATCATCTTACCCCCATTCCGAGTAAACAAATATTTTTATGAGGAAAAATGTTATAAAAACAAAAAAAAACGCAATAATGAAACATATTATTTATTTAAAATAGTCATACATTAATATGTATGACTATTTTCATATTAAGTGAGGTAATAAAATTAACAAAATCAACAGTCAGATGACTTTAAAAGACACAAAAAATAAAAACGAAAATAAAACAGTCTTCTTAGTTAGTTATTAATTTGTACCAGTTACATTAATCATAATGAGATCAATCTAAATATCGTATTCCTTTCTGAATACCTAATTAAGCGAACAAATCGTTCAAAAGTAGCAAAAAAAACATTTACGAATGAATAACGAAAATAACTTATTCTACCTCCTTATAAATTTAAACGCTTTTTTGCAGGTGCTGCATTGCATATATCACAAATAAATTCACCAGCGTCATCATCCTCTATCCCAGCACATTTTTCATGGCCCCATTTTCCACATGCACAACATTTTATCCATCCTTCATTCTTGATATCGCTTGAAAACTTTTCTGTGCAGTATAGACACTCAGTATCATCTTCTTCAGACTCAGATGTGTTATATGAAGTTTTCTTTCTTTTATTTGACTTCACTTTACCTACCCCTTTACCTACTCCCTTGCCTTTCTTTGTTTTTTTAGATGCAGTCTTCTTCACAATTTTTTTATTATCTTTTTCTTTTTTTTTTTGCTATTTTCTTCCTCTAAATAGTTTTTGTATGGTGTGCTAGTTAAAACAGTCGTATGAGTGGTTTTCTTTTTCAACGTCCTTCTTTTGCCCACAATTTGTGGCAAAGGTTTCAATGTAGCAGGTGTAATGGCAAAATTTGCAATAATATTATCACCAAGCGATGTCTCACTGTGGTTAGTGGCACGGCTCGTAGATGGGATTGGCGACATTGGACTGCGAATTGGCACTGATTCGTTTACTGATAAAGTAGTTTTATGCGCTCTAGGCGATTCCAAATCCAATTCAGCAACACTGGTAGCGAGCAGCCGCTGCGTATCTGGACTAGCAGATCTCTCTAACGGAGATGGTGCTGGAGATGGTGTTGGAGATGGTGTGTGATGGTGTTGTATAAATTCAGTGTCTGAACTAACACGACGCATTGGCGGCTCCGGCAAAACCGGTTCTCCTTCGTCCAATTCATTTTCTGTGGTTGCAACCGCAATGAAATCAACCTCACTGAATACATCTGGGTTCAAGGGGCATATTCCTGTTTTAGCAAATCCATTGATTGCATTTGTTGGGGTTGCAGCTTTTAAATAGGCGTCTCCAAAAATTTTTGCAATTTGAAACACAGTCACTGGTCTTCCTGGGTTATTGTTCATCCATTTTTCCAGTGATTAGTTGTGATAAACACTCATGGGATACATCACACTGACATCCAGTGGTTGCATTTTGTGTGTGCAGTGTGGCGGCAAACAAACAATTGTAACGTGGTTCGCCCGTGCTTTCAAAATGACGTCTTAATTTTTCGTGTGAGACAGGTGACCGTCTAATATCAGCATTACTGGATCTTCGGATCACTCTTCGGATGACTTCGTGTGGCGTAGAAAATGTTCAAACCACTGGGTAAAAACTTCCAGTTTCATCCACCCTGATGTATTACAGGCCCAAGCAGAGCCTGGGGGTGCCCCTTCCATGAGCTCAATCTTCATACGGATTCTTCGAAAAATAAACATAGGTGGAACCAAAGTTCCTGACGCAGACATGCAAATAACAGCCGTTGTAGTGACTCCTCGTTCCGCTGATGTAACCCGTGCCACTTGTTTTCGTCCAGTTTTTGCAAACACCTTAGTGTTTTTAGTTGGAACTGTCCAAACACTTGTCTCATCGACTTTGTAAATCCGATGTGCCGGGATGTTCTACGCGTCCTGGACGCTTTTTAACGTGGCAAAAAACTTGTCTACTACAGGTTTGTTAAACGCGCGCGCTCGAGCAGTTGAAGTGGATTCAGGAGCACGAAGGGTGATATCGGGATGTCTCTGCCTGAATCCTTTCAGCCAGTCGTTACCTGCTTGTACTCCTTTAAATGAATGGGGAATTTTATTTTTATCAGCCAGTTGATGTGCTAAAGATAACAGTTCCTTTTTTGTTAATCCATACATTCTTGTCTCCATGTCTTTAATATGGTCCACGAGCTCATTTTCTTGTTCTATGGAAAAAACAGATCTTTTCCCTCCTAAATATTTTATTGCATCAACAGCTATTTTATTTTTTGCTCTGGCCCTTCGTTTCAATGACATTATAGGCACTAAATATTCTTTACTTGCTTTTTTATATGCCATGCCATTTTTCACAGCATCAAGAGCGGCTGTCATTGATTCCTGCGACCAATCCCCACGAGAAGTTTTTATTTTATAGTTACGTGGCATCACGTTTATCTAAAAGAAAGTAAATAAAATAAAAGTTGTATAAACTCATCACTTACTCAAATTATTGACAAAATAATAGCATAATAGAAAGCCTCAAATCAACAGTATTTACATTTAACATTATTTGAATAAAAGTAACATAAGCTCAAAGTCAGTATGTACCTTAGATCAGCCGTACACAGTTTTTATTTTTTCTCGTCAAAATCGATGTACCATTCACGCCGCCATTACGATTTGACTGAGGCGGGGAGGTGTCCGGAGCTATGTATTACCAGTGAAATCAACTAGATCGCGTTAGTGGTTTCAGCACAATCGCGAAGGAACATACCCCAGGGAATCAACTCGTACTACTTTCCCTACCAATTCTGCTGTTATTCCAGAGCAATTGAATGAGACATACATTCTATTTTATTGTGTTGATAATAGAAACTCGATGGCGCGAGGAGCTCGATGGCGCAGGTGGTTAGCGCGTTCGGTTGCGATCGTTGAAGTTAAGCAACTTTCGTAGTGGTCGGTCATTGGATGGGTGACCAAAAAGCTTCTATCTAGAGTTCCTCCGTGCTTCGGAAGGCACGTTAAGTCGTTGGTCCCGGCTGCATCTGCAGTCGTTAGCACCCGCCAATCCGCACTGGGCCCGCGTGGTGGGCCATGGCCCAATCTCCCTATTCCATCCATAGGGAAGGCATGTGCCCCAGCAGTGGGGACATTAATAGGCTGATGATGATGATAGAAACTCGCGACTACTTAACTGCAATAAGGGGACAACATGTACCTATAAATATTCGATTTTGCCATTGTAACAAAATCTATTTACTCCTTATATTACTACTCCTTATTATTATTACTATAATGTAAAAATTTGCATGTTTCATGCTGAATGCTGAAATCGCAAAAACGGCTCAACGGATTTTGATGCAATTTTGCACACAGATAGTTTATTAGCCTGAGATATTGAATAGACGAAGTATAGGACAATAGTAGTCTACGGACGTTTTCTGAAATTTTCAAACTATTAATTTAATTCAGAATATTCCCTATTCACTATCAACTGTCAACCTGCGGTTATTAACAATCAAAAACATTAAAGTATAATGAAATCGCTTTGTTTACAATATTAATAATAAAAACTCAGAGATTCAGTGAATTTCGCACAGTCGCCATTAGTATAATAAGTTACTACTTAATGAAAAGTGCGATAATGACATTTATTTAATAGTAAGTTTGTCAACAAAAACAATGTGACTACATTTTATGAATCTACCGGAAATGAACCCGAAACTTACTTAACGATAATATCAAACAGCTGACATAAATATAAATTGAAATAGGAAATACAACAAATACCTATTGAGACATACCACGTAAAAACTACACAGGTTTCTCTAACTAAGTGTAAAAGGTTCGGCGAGGAAGCCCAAAAAATAACAAAAGCATTACTTACGAATGTGAATCCTACACCAACTGCTATCATGTACCCCCATCCACCATCGGGAGGCACCAGACCCTTTTTAAACTTCTTTGCACTCCCATCGCAATGAGCAAAAGCCTCATCCATTTCAAAACAAAAAATAAACAAAAACAAATAATACTCCTTTTTCAAAAATAGAAAAAAAAGTTGAAGCACGTGATTTATGTTTGAACGTGATGAACTAGCTTCGCCGATACATAATGCTAAGGAACTATTTAAAATTAACAGAACTAAACTTTTTTAAACGAGTTAGCATTTTTGTTGCGAACGTCACTCGCGCTCCCGTACAAGAGATAGTCTGTGTCAACGTTTGTATTAATTCACGTATAAAATAGCTGCTAGTCTACGTTCTAATAAGGCACCGAATAGGTGAATGAATTGAAAGTGTGTAACTTTACTCTTCTTACATTATAAGGCCTCATACACAGTACCGGTAACGGCGGCTATGAGGTCGGAACTAAAAGATGCGGTTTCCTAATACCCCTATTAAATTGTGTTTATCGATTTATTACTTGGAAAAACAATGCCTATCTTAATGAATTTTAATGTTGTTAAAGTCCATCTCTCCGTAAATATGAATAACTCTCAAACACACCAACATTACCTATAGACCTATTTATTTATTTTTTAATGTACATAGATAAACGTGTTTTTGATTGATTATTCGTGAACATATGTTTCTGTAGGTATAGTAAGAATTTTCCGAATAGGTACGATAACTACCTTACTTGACGAACTCCGTGGCCGAGTGGTTTTTACGCCGGGTTTCATGGTGTCGCCGACTCGAGAGATCCCGGGTTCGAATCAGGGTGGGGGCATATGTTTGTGTGATCCACCCACCAATCCGCACTGGGCCCGCGTGGTGGGTCATGGCCCAATCTCCCTAATCCATCCATAGGGAAGGCCTGTGCCCCAGCAGTGTGGACATTAATAGGCTGGTGATGATGATGATGATGAGGTTCGATTTTTAATGTGTTAGCTAGTAATTTATGAAAGCTCGCTCTTTTTTTAACTCTAAACAGAAACATTAAGTTCAATGCTCAACTTTTATTCTGTGACACCTTTTTTTTTATTACGCAGGCAAAACCTCTATTTACAGACGTTGGCGCCCTTAAGGGCACACCAACGACGGACCTCGCACATAATATCCGCTAAAAACCCTGCGAATAATAAATAAATATATAATAAAGAAATATTTCCAACACTCACACCCTCTACGCTGTTAAGTGCGGAACCACGAGATCCCCGTTGAGGGACTTCCAGGGATGGGACCACGGCAGGGATCACCCGGGGTATTTCGGGAGATCCGCAAACGTGCGCAGGACTGCCCGCGCTAGGAGCTAAGTGCGCGGCCTATTGCCCACCGCACCGCTTCCCGTCCGCTGCGGAAGAGCTGCTTAGGTGTTTCCTTTGCAGGCCCTTCCGCGGCCCTCTCACGTAGAACAGAACTACAAGAGAGGGCTGCCGTCACGGAATCCATCGGTGACCGGCATAGCATAGGCATAGCTGACTCCATGCCGGGCAGCGAGGGATTCCGTCAGGTAGGGGGCGCCGTCGCCTTCCCTACTCGTTCTTCTGCGACGGGAGAGAGCGGCCTCCCGTTCGCTCTCGGCCGCCTCCTTCTGCGAGATGACGTCCACGCAGAAAGAGGCAACCGCATGGCCTCGACCATGCGCGGCAGCGAGAGGGTTCCGCATCCTTGCGCCGCGATTAGCTCGCGGCACTGTCATCGCTAGGCCGGGCACTCCAACAAGGTGTGCTCGGCCGTATCGTCGCAATGATGGCAGCGCGGCGTCTCCTCCTGACGGGCGAGCCGGTGCAGATAGTGACCGAAACACCCATGTATAATAACTGTAACACCTAAAATCCATCTACTACTTACTTAGATGTAATTCAAATCCGCGTGTACTGATTTTGGGAATTGGTGTATTAGATAGATATGTTATTTATTCCCATCATGTATAGCACACAAATTCGAGTAGACAAATAGTAGAGTGCCGCAACGACAGAAAAAGGCAAAAACTCAGCGATACCTTTTGCTCTGAGAGCAAAACACTGGTTTTCAGTCCTGCCTAGAAAGTCCGCGTAGCCGCGAATAACTACACTGTCGTGATTAAAACAAAATATAGATTATTTAATTATTATTGTTATTAATATTATAGTTGCACGTTAATAATTGAATATTATTTTTCAACTTTAAATGCGAGTGTATTTAAATTAACGGGGATTTGTGGGATAACTGCTCAATCCAAAGAATATAAAAAAACACACAGATAGGTATCAGATTGCAACAGGTCTACAATTGTAGGATCGTATTACAAAAAATTAGGTGACCTCTGAAGCGTGAGCGAACGGGAAACCAATATAAAACTAAGTTAATCCGGCTAAGTGGACTTCTGGTGTCACTACTTTGGTAACCAGTGGACTGTAAGATCCAATATTCTTATATGTCGAGATAAAAATGAAAAGTTCGATGACCGTTAACCACCTTCCTTAACAAAAAGCTTTGTCTTATTTCGGGTGGTATAACTAAATACTAAGTATTACCCACTTAGGTACTTAATGTAACGTGGATAGGTAGTTTCCAGCTTTTAAACTACATTTTTCTACAAGTACGAATAGGAATAGGTGCATATTATTTTTCCCAGGGATATATTTTAATATCTGACGCCATCTAACATTTGCATTAGTCAGAGTTGTGCAAGCTCTAAAATGTTTCGAACTACTAATTCTGAAAGCACGAGAAAAAGACACGACTGAACAACACACCGTTCATTTAATCATATTTAAATATTTTCTATTATAGTAGCATAACGAAATTTTCTATAAACTACAAATACTAAATGCAATACCCAAGGGCGGATCAGGGGGGGGGGGGTCATGACACCCCCCTGGGCTGGGTCCATCTGTACCCACTTCACAATCTGTACCCACTGTGACTTGACCACACACACTTACAATTACTTGACCACGACTATATGACTGGCGCCAAAGCTGGATCCGCCCTTGGCAATACCGTTTATTCAGTTAAGGCTGTTACAAGGCTACAAGAACTTGTTAAAGCTGAGAAAATACGCCTTGGCTCGAAACTGTACGGCGGGAGACCTTGTACTGAGAAAAATCGGCAAGAAACTCAGCAAGGGCTGTTTATTTTCTACCTGTATTATTTATTATATACAGTCGTTTAGTTGAAAACCCAATCAAGTTCGAGTTGGAATCGCGTACTAAGGGTTTCCGTTTAAAAACAGCATATTATTATAGGACATGGTATACAAAGATGGTCAAAAATGACAACTTTAAAGGCCCCCATTCTAAAGTTCTTATTATACCCTACTCAATGAGCTCTAGCCAGACAATGATGTGTCACATGCGGGGTTTAAGAAAAAAAATCGTCTCCTTTGCATGTAGGAATGAATAATAATCTAAATAAATTTGTCGTGTCACGGTGTGCGTAATAGAACTACTACGAAACGGCTCGACCGATTTTCGTGAAATTTTATATGCGTATTAAATTTTCATCCCCCTAAATGTTAAAGGGTTAAATTAACACATATTTTATTTTTGATAAAATTTTTTGTTTTTATTTTTTTTATGATACAACATACAAAAATACATACAACCCTAAATTTTCACCTTTCTACCACTAACCCCATTTCTTTATGGCGGTACGAAGTTCGCTGGGACAGCTTATATTTTTAACTAAATATTAGGCTTTGTGCAAGCATTCTACATAAAATACCAAAATTTCAGTTCTGTAACTCATTCCGTTTACAATTTATCGACCCGTGTCCGGTAAGGAAAGCCGGACAGACAGGCGTTTTCGTAGAATTGATGATAATTTTGGATTTTTTAGTAAAATAGTTCCCATCAGCGTTCATAATCGTAATAAATGTATGAACACAAAATCTTCTTTTTCTTCTATATGCATTTAACACCCTTTTCCTTATGCATAAATTATATAATGTTACTTTGTGACTTTGTAAGAGAAAAATAAAAAAAACCCTCATTCATTCATTCAAAAATAACAGCAATGGAATAATCTTTTTTGCGATACATATCACTTTATTTCTAAAACACGTCCAATACAGCCGACTACCGTTGAAGGTATGGTCACCTTAACCAAAGCTTTACCGCACGAAATAGTATCGCAGCAATTCGCATCGCAAGTTCCTGAGACGTCGCACTGCATTACAGTTTTGTGTGGGAGCCCATAATCTGTGGTAGTCTGTACAAACATGGAGAAATACAACAATGAAATCTTACCTACATACCAAATGAGATCTACGGTCGTTATCAATTTATAATAGTGTGAGCACGTGAAATATTTACTGTATGGAACTACGAAATCGGAACATGCACGATAATCTGTACAAAAAAAATATGTAACGTGTTGAAAAAAGAACTAAACTACTGGCTCTCAAGCTATTCCATGACACTGTTATATTAAATATAAAATGTATCCAGCTAATGTTCGATGAAAGTAGAATGGAAATTAATTTGGCAGGGATGGTGGATACCACATAAACAAAATTATTAGAATACACGAGTATTAAAATCATTTCGACCCTTGTATCTCTCTCCCCGCTTAGAATACTCGAGAATCTTTTACTGCTTTCGGGCACCATTATACCCTTTTCATTTGTTGTTTAATCTTCTATTTATTCAAGTACTGTGAGCACCAGCAGCCAGCACATTACATATTTTACTACATACGAAAAGGTATGAAATAAAACATAAGAATTCGGTAACCAATTATTCATTTAATTCACTGTCTTTTCTTTTTTTTTTACTTCATTCTTACAATGGTAATTGCACCGTCTTTAAATAAATAATCAACAATTAAGCTTCTCAATATGCACTAATTATTTGTATTATTTTATTTGTGAAATAAATGCCAATACTTTTGATCTCCTGTACTTCCCATGTGTGTAAGCTATAATGAATTTAACTAAGTCGTTTAATTCCCACACATCAAGAGCACGTAATTGATATAAAGCCGTTTGAGCCAGTTACTATGTGATTAATATTAAGTTCATAATTACCCATTCATTATACATCACAAGGTTTCGACATCCAATCAACAAACATATTATAAGAATTTAAATTAAACGGTTACATACTAAATATTTAGAGGAAAGAGTAACGCAGTTCATAAAAGAAATACATTTGTAGTTGTAGCAGCTGCCAAAACAATAAACATCTTGTTTAAAGTGAAACACTCAAAAGTTAATTCATATCAGTGTTTTTTTATAAAACAACATGCGTATAAGATGTCTAACTTTAATCACCACTTTTTAGAAAAAAACAATTTCCTTTTAGAAATACATTAATAATTCACTTGGTCTCATATAGTAGATCAACAGCACATTAGGTTAACTAAAAGACCGTCTCAATAGATCTCTTTGTCAAACTATGATAAGAAGAATTAGAAAAGCTAATACTTTTAATAACCTAATGTGTTGTGGATTGAACAAAAAATCTATTTAATTAAACCTAAATGTTTTTATGATTTCGGATATAAGAATTATAATAAGGACATTATACATTTTCTATTGATTTACAGTTCATCTACACGACGTATTAATAACTCTTCATAAAGTACTAATATTACACTAAACAAATTAATAGAATGTCAATCATCTCGATCTAATAGAGGCGGATTTTATATTGCTCGGTATTGGTGGATTATGTTTAAGACAGCTAATAATAATATCAACGTAAAGTCGCTCACTCATTGGTGGTTACGAGTTGAAATCAAGAGCACCTTTTTACATAGAAATAAGATCGATAATCGTGGTACATTATAAAATAAAATGATTCGAGTCCGAATCAGAAAAAGATAATTATAGATTATAACTGTTTAAACTGTAATGAATAGTTAAAACTTAATTACCTTTGTGTATAAATCTAAAGATAATGTTAGTAGAAAAAAATCCCCGTGTGATTGAATTTCATATAGTAACATTTTCTATATAGTAATAAAAATTGCAGTTGAATGTTTAAAATAAATATAATAAACCTTTGTTTCATCTTTACTCAACAAAACGCTAATACAGAGAGTATAAAAATAAACTGTCACAAGAGGAACAATTAACCAGTTTAGTATTAATAAATTGTCATATTTAAAGTCATGTTATTATTTAATAGGGTACAAGAATGTTAGTCTTATAGAACCATTTTCTAATAGCTACTCCACTTGTAGTTGAACTTATTATAATTTTCTGCTAAAAAGGAAGCGCCATCTGGTGGTATTGATCCACTAAAATTGATGTTTATCTAAATGCAATCAAGTTCAAGACTCGTAGTAATTGCATGTAATAGAATTTGGTCCTAATGGACACTATGATACGCCATTTACAACAATAAAAAGTATATATAAAATCAAAATTTAAATATATACAGGAGCAATTAAAAATACCATACCTACAATACGGGTACCTTTTTAGACGCTACTGGATCCAATATTTATAATTAATTACATAGATATCGTGTACTAATACGTTACATCGTTTTAAAAGTACCATAGATGATGTAAGTATATCGACATTCATAAAATGTAAAAAAAAATACAGTTGGCACTTATATTCATAATTCCTAACGTAGGACGAATAGACATAAGACCAAAGTACCGATTAAAACTTTAAGTACAAAAATACAACAGATATTTGGAAATGACACTCCGATGTGTCTGTCCATGGGCAGTTTTGATTCTAGATTCAATTAAACAAAATGTTGCATTACATAATTATATACAACTTGTAACAGAAATAAGGCACACCCTGAAAGTTGTTTGGTTGTAATTAGCTTCTGAATCGATTTCAATAACAAAGGCATCTAAAAAGTAATTGTTGAAAAAATAATTAACATTAATTTTATCTTTCTAAACAAAAGAATATGAAACATAATGCAAGGTAGTATGAGCTATTTTACATAATTTTACTTACATTATGATATCACTGATTTAACTGATTAAATAAAAGTTACTGAAATTTATTAATTTGCATATTTGTAACAAACTTTCAGGGTGTACGTTATTTCAGTTACACGTTGTATATGTCTCAAATAATAAATAACACTGACTCTTAACACACAATCTCTCTCGAGAAATAAGCTTAGACCAGTTACGTCGTGTTCGTCGTCGTTGTTCATATTACTCAAGTGCTGCTTGTATTTTTTTTAATTTAACAGAAACAAAACATAGAGTAACTAATTCAAACTTATTCTTAGTTTATTAATAAGGGGGTATAAGATTCCATTGCCGACTGTCTCAAAATCATTGGGATGTTTTGCGATCTTATATATATATATATATATATATATATATGAGCTGCACACAGAGTTTGTATGATAAAGAATCTTTACCAATATATTTTGGTGGGAGCTTGATCCAATAACATAATAAAAAAACTGAAGTAGTTGTCTATTAAAAACAATTTAGTTTTTTTAGGTTACAATATTATTATTATGATAATATTATTGTTGATAAAAAATATTTGCTATTAAACATTTGTACACGTTGCCTGTAGAATATATGAACTAAATTATAGTTCATGTCTTCTACAGGCAACTTGTATAAATGTTAGTGGTGTAAGATCAAATAGTTACAAGTTGTTGTTGACGTAAAAAGAGTCATTGAATTTCAAGTCAAGCTTAATGCCAGTTGCTTTAACTCCGATTAGAATGTGAAATAACACGATAAAATGCTTAAAGTATAAAAACTCCACTTAAGTACGACAGTAAGTAATTTTTTCTTAAAAGAATTAGTACCAATATTTTTTTTATAAACGGATAATACTAAGTACAATATTTGGTCAAAATCACACATAACAAAAAAGGAAATCAATAAAAATATATCAAATAAATATATTTTCAGATCAATATATAAGACAATAAATAGGATTAATACGTGAACTCATACATAAATAATATTATTCTTTATTTTTTTTTTATTTAAATCATTAGTTATATCCACATATTGTCCAATATATTTACCTATAAATATAGGAACGATAACATTAACATGTCTTTTTATATCTTGTTTACCTATATAGATTTTTGGATATGGTAAAATGTTTGATTAGAAGTCTATCACCGAAATATTTGAAAAGTTAATTACAATTTTGTTGAGCATTATCTATTGTATATTGTAATATAATTTATATCGCGGCCACTGAATAGCACTTTGAAAAAGCTGATACAGCAATTTGATGATAATTATATAGGTACTAACAAACATTTTAAAGGAATAAAACTGGGAAAGTTCTATCTAAAAATACATGCTCTTCTGCATGAACACCTCTCAAAACTACAAACAGCCATCTAAAAATATGGATCCTAAAATTGAAGGGGGATATTTTAGAAATCACATTTATTTTTTAATCATTTATATTATACACAATAAGGGTCAATTATGAATTTTACCATTTACCTTACTGATAAATTCATATCGACATAATTTACGACAATCATAGTTAACACAGATGAGTTGAATACGGAAAAAAATAGTTTGTGGAATAATATTTGAACAAAAAAATATTCACAAACATGAAATAATAAACGTTTATAATAAAAATATTAGGTGAATGTAGTTTGCTCGTAAAATTGAACAATTTTATTAATATTCGTCTTCGAAGCACCTAGTCTGATTTGTTAATCAAGAAAAATAAGTTTAAAATAAAATGAAAAATATTTTGTATTTCAACCTAAATTAGTGCTAATTAAAAAAACGCATCAGAGGTCGCAGAATTTGATCCATCTTCAAGAATTTTGAATTTAGTTGCACTTTAAAACTAAGTACTTATATTTTGTTCAATGATATAACCTTATAAGCCTTTAATTTGAATAATCATTTTCTCTAACAAAAAAAGGTGATTCATTGTCATATTTTAACATTAACATTACTAATCAAATAAAATAAAATTTAAATAAGATACAAATATTTTTTCTATTAAGTTCACGATCAACTAATCATTTGTCATTTTCATAAAATTCCTACAAAGATAAAATAGTATTATTTGATAAATTGATAAATATGAAATCGAAAAGTTTAATTAAAATGTCAATTAATACATTATTATTGTCTACTCGTGTAGACTCATTATAATTATTTAAGTCATGATTTATTTAGATGTTTGTATATTCCTATTAATGTAAAAGTCAATCAAAATGTCATGATAAATTGTGGCACTGGAGAAGAGAAGACGTTTACGGAAGAAATCGTTATTCAGTTATTTTATATAACCACATTATTTATTACAAATATAACTATACCTAAACATATAAACAATTGTCTATATTTTAATATCATTTTAACCTTAGAAAACTGCGTACACGACTGTTTTACCTTAAGTATGTCTCCTTCTTTCATTAAACATATACGACTGATAAGAGCGAGACAAAACATATTGCATACGACACGGTCAAATATAAATAATCTGAATACACAGTAGGAGTTTAAATGGAAAGCTCCTTGATGGGCAGTTATCAAATTATCAACATAAAATCTTACTACAACGTACATAAAGGCGTTTATTCGACGAATCTGGCAGATACTAAATCTGCACTACTTTTCTGCGTCTCGTGAACTGTAGAGCGTATTCGATACCCCATACGAGCACACAGGACATTATTAGTGCATTTTGTACATGGATACATACGGCGAAGCTGCCTGTGTAGTCCCTCACGTAACCTGTTTGAAAGAAATGAACATTATTGTGACGTTGCTCTTGTATAAAGTACGTTGCAAACTTAATGGCGACTGTGAACTAGCGCAAGTCGCAACGCAGTAAACCAAACTGATAACGGACGCCGAGATAGGATCAGCCTATGGAAAAAAAGCTCCAGACTCAGATGGGGTTCCAGGCGGAGTACTTGCAAACATATTCGAGCAATTGGACGAATATTACAGAGCACTCTTAGATGAGTGCCTTAACTCTGGAGTGTTCCCAAGTGAATGGAAGAAAAGAAAAATATTGTTTGCTACAGAAAGAGGTAGACCAGAAGACCACACATCCGCGTATCGTCCGATCCCGCTACTGTAGGTCGGTCGGCAAACTCTTTCGACAGAATTATTGCTGACCGGATTGTTCCGTATTTGGAAGAAGTTGGCCCCGATTTGGTGTCTAACCAATAGGGCTTTCGCAGATGCAAATAGAGGCCCTGAAGAAACTTTCAGAGAAGACGTTGCACATGAGGGAGAGCGTTTTTACTATCAAATCAAAAAAAAATACAAAAAAGTTTATTACGATACCACATTTGTTGTACACCAAACCAGGGTGGGTTCGTTCTATTAAGTGTTTAGTACCAAAAGGAACCACTCTACCATAGCATCATTAATATATCTTATGGTAAGGTCTTAATTTTATTTCATTAGATTTTTAAACACTATAAAGAAACTATATTACTGGATATAGCAAATGCATTCTGTATTCCCCATAAACAGTATTGTGAAAGCACTTCAATACCATGAGGCCCCAATATTTCAGAAAGGTGGTGAAACACTATTTGCAATATATAGATTTTAGGATCAGGCAAATTGTGTGCGGAGTTCCACAGGGTTCGGTTCTAGGGCCGCTGTTGTGGAATTTCTCACATGATTGGGTCCTCAGATGGACGCTCTTACCCCGAACAAGTGTCATATGCTACGCTGATGACACTCTAGATTGTTGTTCGGAGCAAGAATTGCGTAGATATTCGACGACTGGGGTCAGCGAGTGTCACATTGGTGACAGACAGAACACGTTGGCATGCTTGGCTTAATGGCGGCTGCGGAAGAAAATAGAGCTACGATGCGCGATGGAACGTACGTTAGGACAGCCGAAGCGAGGGTGCAAATCGATCTCAGCGTGAAATAAATAAAGCAAGTGCTAGATAGCAAGTGCCGATTCAATGCCCATTTCACGCAGCTGGCCCCAAAACTGATAAATTCAGCGGCTGCACTTAGCAGATTGCCGCCAAATGCGGGTCGTAAGTTTTACACTGGGGATATTCAAAGTACGGCCCTATACGAGGCGCTACAGTGGGCCGATAAATTAACGCGGCGAGTGTGATGCTGCTGCAGAGGCCGCAAAGAATAGGGGCGCAAAGAGCTGCGCGAGCTTATTATACAGTAAACTTCACATAGATCGTAGCGTGAAGATTGATCAAAATTATCTAATGCACAGGAATACAATTTTATACACGCTCTAAGATAATCTTATGTAACCGAAGATATTTATGAGTACTCTATACGCATAAATACCAATGACCAGTTGTTACAAAAATGTATTTGACCACCTTGCCACCTCATATTTTTATGAAGCTGACTATAATAGGACAGAAACGCGCGAAAGAGGGAAGAGATTCGCTCCGGCGGAGATCCTTGCACTCAGCGAAGAGCTAAAGAGCTTGTCCTTGAAGTGCTTGACCGGGAGCTGGAGTCGCAGGAGAATGGAGCCAGGACCCTATACTCTATTCAACTACCCCTGAGACAAAAGATAAACAAACCATTAAAAGGTTTTTGAACAGGTCCAATTCTGTCATGCCTTCATTGTGACACAGCACACTTTTGAGGAGTGTTCGTCGTGGTCTTGGCAGCGCCATGGTAATATGATCATGGCTATAGGATATGATATCTCTGTGCCCGGCGTGTGAAAGCAATGTTAGACACCGACACATCCTGGATAAAGGTAGTCTTCTTCTGCGAGGACATTATCGAGGAGGAGGAGGCATAATGCGCGCCTCTTCATATGAAATTCTATGGTGATCCTTTCAGCAGTACAGTGACTCTGAACTATGTAAGGATTTTTTTTATAGCGTGGTAAGCAAATGACTCTACCACACCTGATGTTAAGTGGTGATAAAGTTCAAACGCGAAGATAGCTGGTACAGCAGGCTGAAAGAAAGGTTCGTCAAAACAAGAAAGAGAGAAGAAATAAAATCTGTATATCTTACCAATGAGTGGCCCAATAGCCACCACGAAGACCCCCTTGCTGACCATGTGCAGACCGAAAGCGGCCGGCAATTTCTCGAGGGGGCAGTATTCGGATATTGTGAGAGTGAAGTTACTAAGACACATGCCTCGGAAGAATCCGCAGATGGACAGCCAGATCATCAACGGCACCCATTCGGATTGCTCAGCGAGTACTAATAACAAGAGAGAGAATTTATATCATATTCTTTATCTTTCATTGAATTACATATAAGTTACAGCCGTTTTCAGAAACGTCTTTATTTAATGTAACATTAAATCCCATGCTGTCTCGTGCTATTGTTATAGCACAGAAAGTGACTTTGGCAACTTCCATATCCATACTTTTCTTAACGGACCGGATTAAACGGCATAATTAGATATTGCCGCTCTTAATCAAATCCTACCTACTTATAGATAGATTTGGGTAATATAAATCTTACGTTCAATCAGAACATGACTAATATCTTGCTACCAAATCACGAGACCAAAATAAACGATCAAAATTCCGTTAAAATTTCTTCAAATATAAACATCGCGGTAAACATAATTATCTCAAGCTTATTTAGCTCTTATTTCAAAAAGCAAGTTAAGCATTGGTTCTGACTGCATCTGAAGTCGAATCCGTGCCGCGTGGTGAGTCATTGTCAGTGCCCTAGCAGTGACACTTTAATAGGCTGATAACTATGAAACAACTGCGAAATTTAGTAATTAAAACTAACCCATTAATTAAGAAGTTTCCAATATGAATCTTAACTAGAGATACATATTCCATGAACTGCGATGACAAAAGTCAACTAGTTATTTAAAAAAGATCGACATTCCTATTATAGCCGCCCGTACTAGTTGGCTCATCATTATCATATTATCTGTAAAAAAACAAGTTCGACTTGGGCCAAACGTAACCGCTGTTACTAAGTTATCAGTTTCCTTAAACATCTCGCCGGTCATGACTCATTACTGGTATGAATATAAAATCACCTTGATCATCGTAACATATAGATGTTAGTGACAGATATTTTTTTCAGCAAATATAAAACTACTATATGGAATTGTAAAATATCGTCAGAATCTTTGAGGAAACTTTTACTGCTTCAACTAATTTTGTATTATATATTGTGATAGATAACTTTATGGGCAGAATAGGTATGTGTCAGAGTCACAATGCAAGGGTTCCGTTACATCGTGACAGACAAGGTTTAACATTAAACATTATAATCAGTAAGGGAATGTGACTTCCTGAATTAACACAAATACCTATTAAATTGTTGGGATAGACAAAAAGTAATGCTATTGCTATTCATTTTTGTAGCGAAACCAAAACAGATAGCAGAAGCTGCTGCAGCTTTCTCATGTAGATAATAAAATTTTAAAGAGCGAGAGAGAACTTAGCAGATTTGCCGCTCGAATTGGAACGCCCGTCTGGAGAAGTTAGCTCCACCTTACAGTAGACCACAGTAAAATAACACTACCTTTCGGTGATGTAGTGTTTCTGTCGGTGAGTAAGGTTCCAGGGCTCCACGGAGTAGGGGGTAGGGAATAGGGTCAGGGTAGGCAACGGCGCGTGATATTTTTGGTATCGCAAGCGTCCAAAGGCGATGGTGGTCGATTGCCATCAGGCGGGCCATATGCTGGTTTGCCAAACTTTTAACATAAAAAAAGTCTATCAAAGTTCTGGATACTATTGTAGATCGGAAATATCTTGGTCAGAAATCATTGTGCAACCCGTCACTAGTGTTTGGATAAGAACTTAACGAACCGATGGTAAATATGGCAAGTGTATTATGCAAAATCATCAGCCCATTATTGTTCCCAGTGCTAGAGCACATAATTTACCGATGTATGAAATAGAGAGTATCATACATGACCCACCAACGCATGTACAGAGGATTAGTGGATGCTAACGCAGATGTAGATGTAGATGTACAAGAAGCTATTTGACAGTATGAAAAATAAAGTAGGATTTCACTATTTTACAAGCAATAAAGTAGTTAATAATATTACTAAAAATCATTGAATAGATAAGTATTTTTCACGTGACTGAAAACGCCTAGGATTAGCGTAATCTAAAATGAAGTCAGCTGCTTGTGGGCATGGTCGAAGTGACATTACTTTGTTAAGTACTGTAAGACGTTTAAAAGAAAGCCGTGCAACGTCACCTGCCTGTAAACACGCCACATTTGTTAGAGAAACGATTTGGCGGCATATTTGCCAAACATAATTTTAATTTTCGTTTTTTTTAACTGATGTACGCAATAGAATTACAAATATCCACTTTTTATGGAGTCACATCACAGTAATAAGTAACGTATCAAAAACTTTATCAAACTATAAACTACTATAAACGTTATCAAAAACTTTTAAAATAGCCTATTATCCTTTTATTTTGGCTCATTTCGATTTGATTAGCACAAGCCAACTTTGGGCTATTAATATAAACAAAAATATAAATGATACTATATTTATAATAGAACAAACAACTTACCCGATCTGGTAGCCGCTAAAAAGAAAGCAGACACGAAGAATATCATCTTCTTTGATATAGTAGTCCTATCGAATATAGGGGGTAGTATCAACCGCACCAATATATCAGTGATCGCGGTCATTGATAGGCAAAACGCCGTGTCACTCATGTTGTACCCCAAGCTTCTTATAAAAAATGGCGTCAACATCCTAAATTGCAACTCGCCACTCCAAAAAAGTGAGAGGCCCAGTAAAAGGTTCAAAAACGACCAGTCTTTTAGTAAGTCCAAGTCCATAAGCGCAATGAATCTCTTAAAGAAACCCTTCTTGTTCTCGTCCTCTAGTTCGGGTTTTTTTATTGCTTTCATTTGTATCGCTTCCTCGTCGGCTGTCTGTGAACAACAATTGTATTGTTTAAGATTAAAAAAAATGAGACGTAACATTATTAGGTATTGCTAGTAATCCTAGAATCTATATCACTATAAACATTTGTATCCTAAAAAAATATTATGATTCCTTCAAATTAAAGTAAGTATCAACATTTACTTCAAACCTAGAAATTTCCAAATGCCTGAAATATTGCTCCTAACTTTAGGTGTTAATTTTCCCCGAGCACAAGTTGGATAAAGTGTATTTTAAATTTTAAGAAATATGTTTAAGGTTTTAATTTACTGATCTTATAAATATTTCGAAAATTCTGTATTTGGATGAGATATAATACTAGTACCATACGATTAAAGAATAAGTTAATTAGTCTTAATACATCTAAAACGCCATATTATTTTTCAAGACACAGTAACCTGATAAGGACGCAATAAATTATTTCTATAACAACATTAAACACCATAAACAAGACGGACGAGAAACTTAATTGGTTATTTTTTATAAAGAAAAGCACTACTACTTTTCTCTTTATCTTTGTAATTAAATAGTTAATTATCATTTCCACACAAAGTTTCAAGGATATTTTCATGCAGTAAGCTGTTAAGTTAAAATTATGAATCCTACATGCTCACATAAAGAACATTTTTATTTTAATTAAGCTGTCAAATGGCATATTTTTGTCGGTATTTTAGGGTCGTTAAATTTTATGTTAAATAACAACGTTTAAAATATACTTAGCACTATTAATTACGGCCTATAAAACACCGATTTTACTAGAAAAAAGTTAGACACGATTTCAAACCTTGTGTAGGCAAATATTGAATGTAATTTTTTCTTAAACCCGTGTTGAACGCATTTCTAACTTTTTTATGGTAATAAAGAGTTTTTTTAGTGTAAGAACTTAGCTGTATAAAATCAAAGGTGAAAGGTGAATACCATGCTTATCTAATCTAACATTAAAAGGGGATACATTTTGCATCGCAGCAGTTACCTGTTCTATAGTCGAATCTTCTTCCAGTAACTAAAATAAACATTCGAGCCATTAAATCCGTTTTCTACACACTCAATTTCATTGGAGATTCTTATAAATCTGCCGTCTACAAATACGAATAATACTGTTTCATCACAATTACCTACTGCTGCTGAGTTTCAATCAACAAATGACTCAGTTGAAAACCAAAGAATATGTGCAACTGTTATGTTTTGAATTCTGCATCACGGTATTATTAATATTTCGCGAAATACAAATAAACGAAAGCTTTTCTTCGTCTGAGGATACATCCTCCTCCTTTGGTTGGTTTTTCTTCTTAAAAATATTATGTTTTCGTTAAAAAGTAAAAAAAATAATAAAAAGTTGCAATACCTACATCAAGGTACAGCTGCAAATAGCTGCCAGTGAAATCCATATTCGAAATGTTGGATATAACTGACGCCTTCCTCTTGCGCGCCGCTTCACTCATACTCCCGCTAGATGTCACTCTATGCATAGCCGCGACGGACGCGGCGGTCGTTAACCCAACGAATTTAGAATTCCTCTCGAATTCTGGTAAAGGTTTATCACAAGTCTTCGCTCGAGGCATTCCTATAGTCCGCACCGATGGATGGTTCATGTTGGCGTGGGATCTTTGAGGTGTTGTAAGCTTCGTCAACTGATGTGTGACTAGTGGGTTGCTCTCGAATTTGTCTTCCGCCTCTTCGTCGCTTTCTAGTATGCACTCCATTTCCTAGAAATTTGTATGGTATCAAAATCTAATTCATAAGAAATATATATTTAGCAAAGATCACAAGTCCGTCTGTCTACATCCTGAGTAGAGATTTGAGAGCCACTTCTTTTACATTTGTCAAGTTTTGTAGTCTTTTCTTTCTGTTATGCTCATTGTGGAGCATCAAACTTTTGAGTAATAAGATTAAGAAAGGGAGTCATATCATGAAATAATTAATTATATTATAATCGAAGCGTTCGAAATATCACCGAAGAAAATAATTTATGCAAAAGATAATAATCCTTATACATGAGATCCCTCCGAAAATTATATTTACTAACCTTAACTTGTTGCATTTCGCAGTCAACAGGCACCTCCTTCAAATGTCTCTTGACTGGTTGGAGCAGACACGAACCCAGTACTGCGTGGAAGGCCAACGCGCCCAGTATGACCACAGTCCACCTGAAGCCGTATTGGCCTAACAGCAGTTTCACTAGCTGTGGCATCACCATCAGACCGAACCCGGTGCCAGCCATGGACAAACCAACGGCCTGTCCGCGCTTTTTTGAGAAGTAATGGTTGAGCGACACGAAGGAAGACGCAGATGCTAAACCTACACCGAAACCTGGAACCAATGAGAAAAATTTATTAGACTACTAGTTGACCCACCGGACGTCGTAAAGCCATAAAAGTACAGGTTGGTGGTAGAAGGGTGAAAATGTTGGGTTTTATGAATTTCTAAAGTGAAAAATTCTTCCTTGTGACTGTGAGATTCGATGAAACGGAAGTAGAGTATTGACACAACATAGGTACCAGTGATTTTATCATTTACTTTATGAGATGATCGGTGATTCGATCCTGAGCTCGGTTATGTTTTGGTTTTTTTTTCTTTTATTATGCTACAATTTATTTTTCGAAACAATTTAAGTATAGAATATTTATGAAGAATGTCTATCCTGGTCCCGCTTAGGTCTCACTTTCCAAAAGCTATGTGTGTGACATAGTCAGATTGGTATTTTTAAGCTGAATAAAAGTTACTATGGCGCCAAGTTTCAAATCTTAGTCCGTTCTGAGTTATCCTTAATTAAACATGGGAGTTTTAGCAATAGCCAAGTAATGCTATTTTTACCTATTTTTGTATTTCTGTGCTCTATACACGTAGTTTATACTCTATTCCAATTACGAAGTCCCTTTTGGCAGAAGTCAATAATCAAGAACTAGTGAAGTACCGCTATAGTCTATACACGACGATATTGATCTACGATTACTATATCGCACAAATTAAAATAACAGAAAAAGGATGCGCATCAAATTAAAATAAAACGCAAACTTTGTTTTTTTTAAATTTAATTACATAATATTACATGTCTTTTTTCAAGCTGCAACTTATTCATCATCACTTGCCGAAATCGATATTTAATGGTCGGCATTAAGCAATCTCGCGGTGTCCCGGCTTGGTCCCGGGTTCAATCCCCGGTCGGGTCAACTTAGAAAATTAACTTTTAAGTATTTTTTGGGTATTATGTATGTGATGTTTTACAATATTTATTTTTATATTGATATCGTCTATTGTATATGCGGTTGTTCATAGTTTATTTCTTGGTCATAATCGTTACAAAGCTTCTAGCTAATCTTCATAAATTAAGTATATATTTCGATATTTTTTAATATTTAATTTTTAGTGCCGCCATTATCGCGATTATGTAACATTTCACAGCTCGCCTTGTTAAGATAAATACAGGCCAAAATCGGTTTATTTTACAAATTGCCGTTGGACCAGCAGGAACTCTCTTTACAATCTCTAGGAGTTGTATACATTACCTACAAAGTATTAAATGGAAAATAATATTTATAATATTTCATACATTGATTAGCACCCCAGGCATTCTATACATTGCCTATGTATTGTATAGAATACCTGAATTATACAGATTGCCGGTGACATAATTATATGCTATAATATAAGAAAAAATTCAAGGACAAAAGTTTGACTTTTCAACCATTAATTAATAAAGAAATTATTTTTACGGAATTGATCAAAACAAAATATTAGAAATGTATACTATAATAATATTTACCTTTACCTATGAATCAATGAAAATATTGTGTGCATTTTTTCCCCCACAACTAGCAACATTGTATTGTAAAAGTTGTGTAAATAAATACTCGATTTTTAGTCGATATACTTACATAAAAAAATATATATACGTGAAATGTATACTTTATGTGTAAAAACTATTCATAAATAGTAAAAACTATCATTATATTTTTTTTTCGTGAGCATTGTTCGACACAACACGACGTGCTGTCGAGCCGGACAGCACGCGAAACGAACTAAGCCATATCTGGCTCAATTTGAGTTGCGCCTATTTCGTGGCGTTATTATTTCTAAGGCCGAATCATAAAAAAAGGTAAAATAAAATTTTTGACCACATATTAAGACAATTAATATTTGGTGAAAACCACCCTTATCACTTAGCGGTATGAAAATAGTTTACGTCCTATTCTCAGACCTACTGAATACACATAAAATTTCATAACAACCTCTATGTTTGGAAAAAAAATAAGACAAACCCAAGTCACGATTGACAATAACATTCCTTTTTACATTCTTATGTAATGAGATTGTATACATACATATAGTGTACATGTAGTACACTACATGCAGGGCATAATTCTACTTTCATATTCGAGTCTGGCAACACTGATTTTCTTATGATGTTATAAGAAAATCAATACTATGTTGCTGCTAACATATATTTACTGTTTACATTCGTAATCTCTCAAATTTACTTTTGCTGGAATCTGAAACACATTGTGTGACACAGCGACCTTTGAGTGATTTTCCTACGAGTAATACGAATGGGTCACGAATGTGTGTTGTTTACATACATAACATTTCTATGTAAAGTATCTAATAGTGAATTATCATAAATATCCATAAGAAGATAGTCACGACATTCGATGTTTCAACTTTTCCATTTTTACATACTTATTGGTTAACTGACATCTAACATTTCTCTAGACCTAAATTGTGTAAGTAAGTACCTGTTGCACCCTATTGTGCTTTGTATGGTTATGAGAAAAACCAGGATGAGTGTTTTATATAATATTTATTTAGTCCGTCCTGTTCGTAATTTTAAGAGAGGAAGATAATATTTTGATAATATGAAAAACCAAAGATTCGAACGCGGAAAAGCTTAATCGAAACGGAAAAGTCGGTAAAAGTATCCTCCGCATCCCACTCATAGAATTCGAATAATATTATTGTGTAATACTATACCAACAGTTCGAACGGAAAACTTTTCCGCGCCTCATATCAAGCGCACTCATACAAATAATATTTTTGCTTAGTTTTGTTTTTTCAGCAATCAGTGTCAAGGGTACAGTCGTCGTACACAAAATCAGGCAGACTACAACACATTCTAATATTTGAAACATTTCTGAAGCAAAACCAATTTTCATTATTTATCGGAGAGCATATTTTGTAGACACTAGTTAATATGATTTAAGGTAATTACGCGAAAATAAAATGGTACATTACTGCAGCGGCCAGCAGAAGAGGCATTGATAAACGAACGTGTAATATGATATATTTAAATGCATCAATGCCTAGTTACGGCCAAGGCTTGCATAGTACTTTTCACAAAAATGCGCGAAAATTAAAAGTCAAGGCTGAAATATACTTCTCTGTCGTGTCGTGTTGTGTCGTGACGCGATCGGTTTCCTACATTTAGTACGGTTAGATATATACTTACCTGTCGCAATGTGTCGACACCGTTCTCACTCTAACCACACTAAATATATGAAACAGAATATTTTTATTAATAAAAATAATAAGGTGTAGTATTTATAATATTAATTACATTTTATAAACAACATCCAGAGTACCAGACTTAAGTTGTGTGAGCGTACAAAACTGCAGACAAAGAAGGTAGGTAAGTATTCGACCCAAATAAATCTCATTCTTCTGCACGAATTCAATTTTGTATTCATTTTATAATTACTTTTATTTTTTTAATTTTTGATGTAGAAATCGTATTAATTTTCCCAATTATTAAATTATTTAAAAAAACCAATTCGTGTCCCCGTAAATCTTTGCGTATAACCTTGTTAATTCATCACATTCATTGATTGATAGAACGTTACTACGTAACATTTAAAAAAAAACACCTATGAGTTTTCCAACCACTAAACTCATGAAAACGGAATAGTAAATGAGTACCTATCTACTTAACATAAGTGGTAACTGATATTGATAAATGAGCTAATGACAGTTTTATTCACTATTAAATTAGTACAGATTTAAAAATAGTTTTGGCAATAGTATAATATAAAGGAAAACTTAAAAGTCTTCATAGAAGTTATCCTCTTAAAATTTTATGTTAATTACTTTAAACATATTTGAATATTATACGTTTTTTATTATTATTTACATTTGGATAATGTGTCCTGTGACCTGTGTGATATCTGTAAGTAGCACGCGTAGTTAATTACAAGTATGTAAGTAATCGTGCATTTATTTCTAACAGAAGCCATCATCGTGAGAAAATAAGTCAATGATTAAGAGATGTAGAGCATAGCGGATTTTCCGCTCGAATCGGAGCGCCCGTCTGGGTCCTCACAGAAGACCACAGTAAAATAACACTATCATTTGTTGGTGTTGTGTTTCTGTCGGTGAGTAAGGTTCCAGTGCTCCACGGGGTATGGGCATTGAATCAGAGTCAAGAGTAGGCAACGGTGTAAGTGATATTTTTTGTCTCGCAAGTGTGTATAGGCTAGGGTGACCGCTTACCATCAGGCGGGCCAGTTTGTTTGCCACTCTTCCTATCTATAGGTACTAACATTATAAAAAAGGAAAGATTTGATTGTTTGTTTGTTTGTATTGAATAGGCTCCGAAACTACTAGACAGATTTGAGAGATTCTTTCACATCCCACATTAACCTGATATACATAGGCTATTGAATATTTTCAAAAAAGTAAGGGATCCGTATGAAAACTTCGATAATGTAACCAAATAATGAAAAAAAAAACATAACAAGTAGGTACCTGCAATCGTCGAAAAGTATGTATGCGCATCTCTAAACCAATATGGATAATTCTTCTTTAATTATGTTTATCTTATTGTCACGACCAGGTTCGTATCAAAGAAAATTTTCAAAAAGACACGAATTGAAAATGCATTTTTTTATTTCCAGTAAATCGTAAGGATCGACTAAGGGATTGACTGTGTTTGGAGAAAATTGGACAAAGACCTGGAAACCAATCTTGACTTCATTTAAATATGCTGAAGTAACCTTCGACGATTTAGTGATCACACAGCTCCGTCCACTCCCTCGGGGAAAACTTTCTTTTTAACATACAAATATTTTAGTGCCTTTATTTCAGGTGAGAATACTAATACGTCAAAACGCCCATAAATATCTATTTCGTTTCGTCGCTTGCGTGAAAATAAAAAATCGAAACGCTTTCGAAACTTTCATTCGGTTGAACCCAGCTAAACTGCTTTCGACAAGTATAAATGTGATGCTATTATGACGGAACAACGAAGGAGATGCAGCTTATGGTGGTCGCCTGACCATTTTACCATCGCCGGACGCATGCACGGTGCATCATTATAAACA